TATATACGAATATCTGTTGGCTACAACTATGAGCAAATAGCATAAGTATAATTATTATATCCTAAAGCACGAAAGTAGGCCTAAAGTGAGTTAAGCTAAAATACGAATATCTGTTGGCTACAACTATGAGCAAATAGCATAAGTATAATTATTATAGCCTAAAGCACGATAAGTAGGCCTAAAGTGAGTTAAGCTTATATACGAATATCTGTTGGCTACAACTATGAGCAAATAGCATAAGTATAATTATTATATCCTAAAGCACGATAAGTAGGCCTATAGTGAGTTAAGCTTATATACGAATATCTGTTGGCTACAACTATGAGCAAATAGCATAAGTATAATTATTATATCCTAAAGCACGATAAGTATGTCGTTTCTTTTCAGGTAAAAATTAAAATAAATTAGATTATTGTACTGTTGTATTGGAAGAGAAACGAAGTGAATGGGTTTAATGTTATATTATGTGAATAATAAATAGATTGAGCTTAACCCTAAAACGACAAAACTTTAAAAATTCTATATTTCTTGAACAAATTGTCTAAAAAAAGTCAGTATTTTTACATCTTGAGTGTATATAAAAATTATATAAACTAATTAATTACTTTTGTATTTATGTTCGTTAATTTAATTAATTTTACCTGATTTTTTCATAAACGTTACAACTATGTTTAAAATATATTGTTTTATGTTATATGTTGTGTACCGACAGAAGTGAATAAATTATGTTTATTCTTATGTTATTATGAAAAATTACTTTGATAAATTAAATAAATTGATATATTATTTGCAACCGAAGCAACAAAATTGGGTATATTGTTGATGATGATTAAAATAGATAAGTTTTCTTTATTGACAGCAACAATATATTGATGTCATGATTTTAAAGTTTTTAATGAAAGGTTAAAGTGAATTGGAATAGCACAGTGTTTTACTTATGGTTAAAATTTATAATTATTTATAAAGACATTCTGATTTACAAGACAGAAATATTATATAGCTTATTTTTTATTTAATCCATTTTTGGAGACGTGGAATCAGGGACAATACGTGCCCTACGTTCTGTGAGGGAAGCACAAAGAAATAATGAATACCTCTATTATCAGGCACGTTCTGTGAGGGAAGCACAAAGAAATAATGAATACTTCTGTTATCACGTTCTGTGAGGGAAGCACAAAGAAATAATGAATACCTCTATTATCAGGCCGTCCTGATAATAGAGGTATTCATTATTTCTTTGTGCACTTCCCACACAGGAACGAGTTAGGGATAGTTGATGTTTACCCCACGTTTTTTAAATTAGGCCTTATATTTTCTGTTCCGTTAAATATAATTACAACAATTAGGCTTTAACCGTTCTCTTAAGCATTTGCTTCTCGGAGGTTTAGCGGGATGTTTGGGAATTTATTACGCCAAGATTCTGGGTTCTATCCCTGTGGTAGGCCAAGCACGAATAGCCCATTGTGCTGCTTTGTGCTTAAGAATAAATAAACATGATTTCAAGGACTAAAGGGTTAGATTAATTCTCAAATTACCAACTTTTTTTATACTGTTCGCTACCGCTAGGGTTCGCATACTGAGTAATGTTATGAGTTCTTGTATATAAAATACACAGTTAACAAAGTCGAGAATTTAACACGTAAGTAATTTTAAAAAAAATGTGTTTTAAAAAAACCCGATAGGATCTGGACCCCCATATTCTAGGGTTTATTCAACTACCTATCCTTAACACTAGAACTGTGATTTTCATAAGGTGGAACAAAGAATCTGGCCACAGCTTTGAAGGAAGTAGAAAACGTTTAAATCTTTAGGTCGATAATCACAGTAAAACCCCTGGCGTGTAATCACTTCACTATAGATCTGTGAATCATCCTGTCCTAACCTTCAGCTGAGATTTGGTGTAGCGAGCATCACGAGCTCTAGGGTTTAATAAGGAAGTATGTGGAGGAGAGAACTTCAGGATGGCTCATCCTTACTCTGATCGAAGCTGTCACTCTTCACTGAGTAACGCCTCCTGGTATATTCGATAAAACAAAGAACCACTAACTGGATCATTATCCTGAATTTATTTTGTCCAGCTACGCTGACTCCATAATAAAGTATGTTAAATAACTATATATATATATAAAAGAAGAAGATAAATTTATGACTCTTCTTATAAGTAACAATAGTGGGAGGGGGTGGGGGGAGACAGTAAAGTCAGTGAGCAATTTACTGAACCTTAGGTTAAGATTGATGTAGTGGGCAGTTTAGAAAAATCATCTCGAAATATCTTTCTAGTGAATGTCGTAAAACGGCCCCCAAGAAGTTTGAATTTGTGTGCGAAAATAAACCATGTCTCATTCAGCCGAAACTCAATGATGTAATTAATCGAGGGAATTATGGGTAAGTTTTTTTTTATATATTGTTCCTTTGTAGATATAATGTCTTTATGTCCAAAATTTACAAAACAAAATGCGATAAATCAGCATTTTTTCTGATATACTAAATAAACTCGTGATTGCCATGCTGTTAAAACTTCTAATTATTTAATAAACCCTAAAAAAATGGTTAACTTCGACCAGATTTTCCTTATATCTCAAAGCCGCGTGAATTAGGCCTAATAACTTTAATATATATATATATATAATATACAATAATGGCGTTTTCTACACATGCATCATTAAAAATATAGCTGTTTCAACTGGAAGTTTAAATTTACTAGGTGGCGCACTTGTCTATCAGTTCATTGTTACGATTAGGCTTAGTTTGTTAATATATATCACATGATAGACCGATAATACCGTCCAATGAAACACATAATGTTTTTTCGGACTTTTATTTTAATGTTTATTTATATATATCAAACACAAAGCTAAACAATGGGCTATCTGTGTTGTGCCCACCACGGGTATCCAAACCTGATTTTAGCGTTATAAGTTCGTAGATTTATCGCTGTGCCACTGGGGATGGCGGGGGCGGGGATCCTACATGTTCCTATAGTATTTCAATACCATTATTAGGACTAACGTTTTTACACAACATTCAGCAATTTGTACAAAAAAAGCTGTTCTTGTATGTATAAAAAAATTATGATAGCTGCAAAATACTGCCGAAACATGTAGAGCTGTGATTAAAATTTGATTGTTGTTTTTAAAAACATTGTTTTTATGTGTTTCATTGAATGGCTGGCAGGTGATATGTATATTAAGCCTAAACGTAACAATTCAGTAAAAGACGAAATCCTTTTCAAAACATTTAAAACACCAAATAGAATAGCCTACCTTAAGAATAAATTTAAATAGGATGACATGAAGAAATATTTTGGGAACAAGACAAGATCACTTAATGTAAACATTTTTTGTCCACAGATGGCGGGCCGCTAACTACTCCTTCTTTTGGGGCCGGACACTCGAATATGGAATCCGTTATCGTTTAGGGACATTTAAACCATACCGTGAGGTACGTTGGGATGTGATACCGTGAAGTAACAGTAAACAATATCATGAGATAAGTTGGTATTAATTATTGTTGGAGGTCATCTAAAGCATATCATGAGATAAGTTGGTATTAATTATTGTTGAAGGTCATCTAAACCATATCGTGAGATAAGTTGGTATTAATTATTGTTGAAGGTCATCTAAACCATATCGTGAGATAAGTTGGTATTAATTATTGTTGGAGGTCATCTAAAG